ATTCGTAAGTCCACAGCTATTATGACTATATCATCGGCGAAACGTAAGTTGATTAGATATTCTCCATCTATTTTTATTTTCTTTGTCAGTAAATCTAAATTCTTAAAATGTTTAGGTGACATTGGGTTTCATTGTCTAAGCTCTTACTCTATTTTTATGCGATTACTATTAGTATGTAATTTAAAACTATTAGTTGCCTGTAGGTATATCTTGTATAACAATTTTGTATACCTATAGTCTAACTTGCATTCTTTAAGCGCTTGTAGTATTTGGCTGAGCTTAACTGTGTCAAAGGTTTTGTGAAAATCAAAAAATATTAGCACTATAAAGGTTTATTGTATTCCAATTCCACTACTCGCTCTATTAGGGTTTTTATGCTTTGTAGATGGTCATTAGTGCCGTTTTCGGAATCCTGCAGGATTACTACGTAGTTAATAATAACGTAGTTAATCAAACTCACAGTTTTACATTTATGTATTTAAAATTAGGAGAATACATTGATATTAGGTTGCCAGTCAAAAAGTGGCCGCAAATATTTTTAATTCAATTAAATAGTAATTAATTTTTGACAAAAAATTTATTCCGTTCATTTATTTTTTAAATAAAATACGCTGCTCATAACCTACATGCATGTTTTTATATCAAATTAAAGCTAATTTTTTTCTTAATATGGTGATATAACGCGAGATATAAAAGATAAACTAAAATAGAGTAAGGGCATAACGACAGTGGTTTGACAAGTGATAAAATGTATCACATCTATCGACACATGCTTTTAAAACTCACACAACTGACACTTCAAACCAGTAGTCTTTTGTTTTATCTCTTAATACCCCGCGTTTTTAATAGCTGGCACCCTAATTTTTGACCATTCTTTTTTTGTCAAAAATTAATTACTTACAATTAATTGAAATAAAACTTTTTGCGGCCACTTTTTGGTCACTTTTACGACTGGTAACCTATTATCAATTCATTCTCCTAGTTTTAAATGTATATATGTACAAATGTAAGCTTGATTAACTACGTTATGAACGTAGTGATCCTGCAGTGGGACCTTGTACTATAAGTAATAGCATGAGAATATGATACAGTAATAGCATTTGAATACATATTTATACACAGACTTATTAGATTTAAATGGGAAACGAAATAGAGGGTATTTAAAGAACTAATGAGATATGGGAGGAGATTTCTAATTACGGTTGTATAGATCCAGTAATATAATGAATATAGTAAATGAGTGAAGGTACATCATTTATATTTGAAAATTGAATGTTTTATGTCATGATTTAGGATTACTTAAATTAATAGGTTACTAAATAATTAAAATATATATAGAGGTAAAAAATTGATAAAGGGAGAATATATGAAATAAAATTGGTGAGATTAAAATTATTGTAGGAAGTGTACTTCTATAAAATTAAGACAAGAGAAAAAAAGTTTTTTTTTTGATTCTTTGGGAAAGAAGGTTGGCGATTAGGTTACCTATACGAAATAAACAAGTCAATAGGAGTGTGGTGTGAGAGTAAACAGTGGGGAGAGAAAACAAAGGAATATGTTAAATGATGACAATGAGTAGTTATATTATTTTGATAATCATTTAGAGTGGAGATGAAAAGAAACAGATATTTCATTTCATATAATCTCTTTATCAATTTCTTACCTATATAAAACTCTATTTTTAACTATTTAGTAACCTGTTAATTTAAATCATTATAAATCGTCACATAAAACATTTAATTTTGAAATACACTGTCATTTTAAGCGAATTTCAGACCTCATAGTTTTTAATTTAGAAGTGAAAAAAGGGCTGTTTTGCAAGTGCCGTAATGCAAGACCGCCTCAGGTATGGTTAGGGCACAGAACAAGCTAATTGCTTAATGAGAGCCGGGGACCGCCCTTGCGGTGTTATCTGAACAAAAAAATTTTATTAGAGCAATCGAATCAAAATTTACTCTAAAACATAAAAACAACATTAAATTAAAACCCACACAAAAAACTGAATCTTCCAACTCAATAAACTTATAAACAAAGTAACCCAAACTACATTTTGGAATGGAATTTACGAATACATAAAGATAAACAAAGTCCAGGTTGGTTAGAACAGAACGGACAGTAATAAATTGAGTCAACTCTTATTTTTCTTTCTTGCCAGCAAATCTGAACCGTCTACTTTTAATTCTTTTATTTTCTCCTTCACTTTTTGGACAACGTTCAGGAACATGTTTTATTTTAATGTTTTCTAATGGTTCTGGTCGCGGAGCTCCAATCAATTTCTCAATAATAATTTCTGAGGAAGCTGTAGGGGTAGATAAATAACAGAGAACTTGTGAAGGTTATAAACTTAAGTCTTCTTTGGACTCATTTTCGCTTTCGCGCGAATAATCTGGATCATTGCTACTGTTCTCGAAGGGGTCTATCTCGTTGTCCAATTCTTCGAAAACAGCTAGAAATACAGCGTCTGTTAGTTTATGGTGTTTTTGAAAATTAACAAACTGTTTTTGATGGGTTGGAGTCAATAAAAGGGGCTATTTGTTGACTATTTTTTACTCGAGCTTTCAATTGTGATTACAATTTTTATCAAGAGCTTCTAAAAAATACAAAATATCTTACAAAGTTGAACTAGAAATAAAACATTTTTTTGTTAACTCACCAAATAAAATTAGTTTTTTTATATGAAACTACTGCTTAACATATTAAATACAAAAAATATTAATAAAAAAATGTCTTATTCTAAATGTCTTTTTTGCTAAATCTCAAAACACTGTATCCAACAATCAAAACATATATTATCATTCACTACCTTTTATACCATCATTAACTCCTAAATTAATACAAACATTAAAGGTTATTGACAATATAAAAATAGCAACAAAGAACATAAAAACTATTTCATCTTTATATTCCAAAACTAAATATCCTATAGACAAATTAGATCAAACAAATGTAGTATACAGCATTTTTTGTGCTCAGTGTGAAGCTGAGTATATTAGTGAGACTGGAAGAAATCTCTCAAATCGCATTATTTCTCACAAGAGTGATTGTAGAATTAAGAAACCATCTTGTGCTTTGGCAGAGCATGTAATAGACAAAGACCATATTATGGATTTTGATAATATTAAAATTTTATGTAATGAAAGTAATAAATTTAAAAGAACTTTTTTGGAAATGGTTTGTATTAGCAAAAGTGATAATAATTTAAACAAAAGGTCAGAAATTCAAAATTTAAGCAAAATTTATAATTATATAATTTCTATTTAATTTATATATGCAGTCAGTAAAATATTACATTTTGAATTTTCCATGTATTTGTTACATTTTTTCGGGCATCTATCAATGGTGAATAAATCTTCTTCTTTTTTGTTACTAAACAAAGAAGAATTTTTTAAACAAAATTTTATTTTTGACAATATATCAAAAATAAAAATTTTTAAGTTAGTATTTATGACATTTAGGCTGGTTGTAGCTATTCTATTTTTGTTTACAAATTCAATTTTTTTTCTTAAGAAACTTTATCAAAATTTTTCAGAGAAACGTTTATTAGAATAAGACATTTTTTTATTAATATTAATTTTATTTGGTGAGTTAACAAAAAAATTTTTTATTTCTAGTTCAACTTTGTAAGATATTTTGTATTTTTTAGAAGCTCTTGATAAAAATTGTAATCACAATTGAAAGCTCGAGTAAAAAATAGTCAACAAATAGCCCCTTTTATTGACTCCAACCCATCAAAAACAGTTTTATATTTTTTCCAAACGAGTCACAAGTACTTCTTTTTTCTTACTCATATATATATATATATATATATATATATATATATATATATATATATAATTGTGATATTCAAAATCTTAGTGCGCCAATCAATTAATTAGCTAATTAATTAATTAATTAATTAATTAAAATTATTTAAATGATATGACTATGATTCTATCACACTTTTTAATTCTCTTATCTCAGGGTTCTATTCGTGCTTCAATATCTATGCTATTACATGTGAAAAGTAAGGTCCAAAGAATACCGGAATAATAAAAAAACATATAGGATCTAACATTATATATTGAAATAAAATTAATGAAATAAAATTCACACTCAAATGTTTTCAATAAACAATATCTCATATAATGATTCTTAAAATTTTGTTCTACGTACGTGAACCTTCAAAATTAATGGTACAAACAATATCAGTTAAAATCACAAATTCCCAATTATTATTCTAAATCTCCTAATCAAAAATATTTTATATCTTTTCTAAAGTAAGTGTAAAAATTGTGTTATCAATAAAAGAAAAACTGCAGAAAACCAAACTATCTCTCTCTGATGATGAGTGGTCCAAATCCTTGTTCCTTACTATCTACTCTTAGCAGCTCCCTAGGTAATCAGCAATCTTAAAACAAATTGTTGCAAGTTTATCGTCCTTAATGATCTCCTTCAAATGCACGAATCGTTCAAATTATGTTAGCCTCTTCTCTTCTCGATAAACTGAATCTCTCGTTGGCCTGAGTGAAAAATGACTCTTGGAATATCTTCTCTTTACGGTAAACTGAATCTCTCGTTGGCCTGAACAGTGACTCTTGAAATATAAGTAGAAAAATATGACTTACAATCTTTTACTAGATCAGCTTCTGTCAGATACACTAACTACGCGAAAACTTCGCCTTGTTCGTAAGATTAGTAGACCTTACCTTGTGGCTCGTTTCAATTGCTATATCTGATGATGGTCTAATAAAACCGAAAACTTTTTGAAATTATAATAAAAATGAAAAAATAATTTTTAAATATATACCATTTTACACACGTTCGTTCATTGTAGATGTATGTATGTAAAAAAGTGCTATGTGTTATGTTAATATAATTGAACACGAATTTTTATCAAGTATCCATCAATTCCGTAAATAGTTTACACTTAGTAACTTTTACAATTTACAACAACAACTACATACTTAACAACTTTTTTATTTTATTTATTTTTTACTCACCGTTGATTTTTTTTGTTACAGATTGTGGAATTCAAGACTGTCTTCACTGTGGCTCGAAGGGTTGTATCAAATGCGCGGATTTGATGGTGTACCCTTCCAGAGAATGTGTCTCCAAGTGCCCTTTTGGTCATGTCCAAAAGTGGAGTACGATGGTAGATTACGTGGGAAAAATCTGTCAGCATAACGGAAACTTTTTAGGACTCTCCAACAATGCTATGGCAGTCTTAACTGGCGTAGTGACTGGTAGTATAGTGTGTATAGTACTTCTAACGTGTGCTGTGTTATATATTAAGTTTAGAAGAAAAACGCTTCCGCCGTTAAGTGAAACAAGCTCAGAAATAGATGATTCTCCGGAACGAAAAGATTTCGTTAAGCAATTGGAGACTTTAAGACCTTATGCTCAAAGTTATTTAGATATGCTGAATGACACCAGACGACAGATAAGAGAACTACATTCCGATGGAGATACTTCCGCTATTTCTGCGTACAGACCCGTGATTAGAGATTTGGCGAAGATTCTACTGCTTCTTAACAGGCCTGTGGATAGGTTAGCGGTGCCTGACGATTGGGAACATCTATTTAACTGGGCGGATAAGGTTCTGAAGAGGTAAGCAATATTTTTATCTTTTTGGTGATATAGTTGCTAAAGTGAGTCCATATTGACCATATGTTGGCAAGTATACATTGACACTAATTACATGTTTCTTTAATGATTAACATACACAATCACTTATAGAGGTATTATTTAACCTGTTCAGTTTCTTCTACTAGACATGCTGATAAGGTATACGTGTTTCAAAAAGGTATATCATAAATTAAATCACGCATCCCGGGGACAAAAATAAATTGATTGAATCCAACTACCTTTGTACAAAAGTGTACACATAAAGTTACAGTTCTTTGATGTTACAAAATAAAAATTGTTTTTTTTTTGCATTATCTCCTAAACTACTTGACATTTTGTAATAAAAATGGACAAGTTACTTTCTTGTTCTGAAAGCATTTTTCATACAAAAGAAACAACAAAATCTAAGCGCACAGAAAAATTTTAAGGGTGGTGTGCAGCCCTAAATCCCCCCAAACTTTTGAGTACGTTCAAATTAAATGAATTTTGTGACATCATTAGTTTAACACATTATTTTTACTCCTATCCTACAATCTACGGATACAATAATTACAAACAATTCCATCAATAATAGTCAATAATTTGAAGCTATCATTTATTGTGTGAATAAGATTAATATTAAAAATACTGATATTTCAATGGCCTACACATTTCAGGAAATGGCAGATATGCATTTAACTTTGGAAATGAAAATACACCCGATAGACTATTATTTCGGGCCATTGATCGTCGTTTACGGGAAACGCGTATATTCCAACCGCAAGTTGCTGGCAATAGTGGTCGTCCCATAATGGATGGAACTGATGAAGACATTTTAGAAATCATTGAAGAAATCCCTGGAACAAGTACAAAGGTAATAGCTGCTCAACTAAATGTTCCTCACGTAAGGGTTTCGAGGCGTTTAAAGGATCATCTGCTTAAACCCTATCACTTAACAACGGTTCTAGAGTTATTAGTTGAAGATTATCCTAAAAGGATTGGATTTTGAGATTGGTTGTTAATGGAAAACACTTGAAATGTTACTTTTATTAGAAATATTTTGTTTACCAACGAGGCTACCTTCAGTAGAAATGGAATATCAAACCATCATAACGAGCATATTTGGGCCGACGAAAATCCTTACCCCAAAAAACGACTCATCACCAAAGAACTTTCAAAGTTAATGCTTGGACAGGAATTGTGGATAACAATCTAATAGACCCAGTATTTATTCCCAACAATTTAAATGGTGATAATTATTTGCAGTTCTTGGCAAACGATTTACAAGAGTATTTGGAAGAAGTGAATATTGCAATATGGCAAAATATGTGGTTTCTACAAGATGGCGCTCCACCACATGACAGAATCAAGTCCGGGAATACCTTTGCAGGCTGTACGCTGGTCAGTGGATTGAGAGGGGTCGTGACGCACCTATTTCTTGGCCACCCAGAAGTCCAGGTCTTAACCCCATGGACTTTTGCGTTTGGGGGTTTATGAAAGAGAAAGTATATTCTGTAACAATAGAGGACGAACAACAATTGAGGGTTAGGATAATTAAAGCTGCAGATCAATTTCGTCAAAAAAATATGATTTTTCAGCGCATTCGGTTTTCCTTATTAAAACGATACCGAATTTGTATTGAAGAAAATGGGGATCATTTTGAACATTTATTGTAATATTATATTTATAGAGGTTATAGACACTGTTTATACTTGTTACTTCATTTCAGCCATTTATTTAGTTGCACGTAATTTTTTAAAGGTTAATGAAAAGGGCCGTAACTCAATAAAAACTGTTTTTTGAAAAAAGTTATAAGATTTTTAAAAATAATGTGTTAAACTATGATGCCATACAATTCATTTGATTTGAACGTACTCAAAAGTTTGGGGAATTTAGGGCTGCACAACCCCTTAAAATTTTTCTGTTCGCTCAGATTTTGTTTCTTTTTTATGTTCATTTTTATTTCAAAATACATTACATAGTTTAGGAGATAATGCAAAAAAAAACAATTTTTATTTTGTATCTTCAAAGGGCTGTAACTTTTCCTTTGACTTTTCCTTTCTTTCAGAGTCCATTGTCCAACTTACATAGCCGTACAGGAAAACAGAGAAAACATCTGACAAAGGTCTGATCTTATAAAAAATGTTTTCATGTTCATGAGTGTTTTCCTTACTTGCTCTATGCTTGATAGGATTTCTTTTTTTTTTTTTAGTTACAATGGCTGTTAATATTTGCTTCCAAATATTTTATGGAAGTTACCTGTTATATTATGATTATAAGTAGAAATGATTACCCCCAACGCAAAGATATATGTCTCGGGAGAAGAAATCGAACAGGTCGGGCTGAACGAGGTTGGTAACCCGTGAATGAAATAAAGAGCAGAGTTGAACAAGCCAGAAATGCTTTTTTGAGGCTTCGTAAGTTTCTGACTGATCACAAATTGGACTTCAACCTCCGATACAAGATGCTTAAATGTTACGTGTGGCCTGTTCTCTTGTACGGAATGGAAGCATGGACGTTAAAGGTAGACAGTTCCATTAACAAACTTGAAGTGTTTGAAATGTGGTGCCTGCGTCGAATGCTTAGAATATCATGGAATCAGGGTCAGAAATAAGGAAGTACTCAGAAGAGCGGACTTACAGGATAGGCAAGTTTTTAGTTATGTAAAAAGTAAGAAGACTGTATACTTGGGGCACATATTGCGAGGAGAAAGATACACTTTTCAGCAACTGATACTCGAAGGGAAGATAGAGGGTAGGAGAGGTCTGGGACGTAAAAAAATGTCATGGCTGCGCAATATTCGACAATGGACAGGAATCAACAGCTATGAAATGCTTCGCAATGCTGCTAAAAACAGAATTATTTAATCCTGACTATTTAACATCTCACCTGACAAGACGATGTACGGTGGACGCCTACGTAGAAAAGCACGGCACCTTAAGAAGATCTGTTATATTATTTGTCCCTTGGCATACAAATTTACTTTTGTTGGTATCTTTGAAAATACTAGAATTTTAGTTTTGAAGACATTTAGATGTAAACTGAACATTTCGCTATGGCCAAATATTTCATTTATTATATTTTGTAGTTCTTGTGCGTTGCTTGCTATTGGGACGCTATTAATAGCGTACTAATGTTGTTTATGCTGGTTCCGTTAATTTTGATTACACCTTGTACCTCGTCTAATGCTTCTCTGAATATAGATTCCAAATACAGATTAAATACTAGCGGTGATAAGTCGCAACTTTGTTGCACTCGCGTCGGATTCGTATACCTTCGGATGTTGTGTGCTCTATTTCAATTGCTGCCGTTTGATGCCAATATAGTTCTGAGATAATTCGCGAGTCCTGTTTGTCAATTCTGGTTGTTCTTAGAATTTCGATCATCTTTTGATGGTTAACGTAGTCAAATGCTTTTCGATAATCAATAAAGCATGCATATACATCTATATTCATATCTCTGCATCTTTGTTTTATTACATTTAAGCAAGGCAAAAAGACCTTCTCGTGTTCCCAATCCGTTTCGAAGTCCGAATTGAGTGTCACTCATCTGAAACACACACTTCTTATAAATTCTTTAATTATAATAATAATAAATTCTTTGGGCTCTTTTTTCTACCAGTAATTGATTATTTTTGGTTTTGAGTGCTTGTCTGTAGAATTGCCAACATGTCTTATTGTCTTATTTTTTTCTTCTTCCATATTGTCGGTACATATTAAATTAAATTATTAAGTAATTCCCCATTTATTTTTATTCTATATGGTTGACTATGGTTGGCAGTTTATTTATAAATAAATAATTGAGCAATATTTGGAATAAATATCTACACACACAATGTGTGCAACCCTAGCTCCGAGTGACATGTGTGTTCGAATAGAACAATAGGACCCACATTGGGACCCACAATGGGGCGATACCTATCTGACCCAAAAGCTGTAACCAACCACCTCTCCCCATCGTAGGACATAACGAATGATTAGGCTTTTGTACTGAGCGTTACTTTGGATGCCCTGGGTAATGGGACATCCTCTGTTTTACTTTGTGTGGTAAGGCCACGAGCTTTTCTATCTATGACTGATAGAATTTATTAATTGACTTGACTTTGGACTTGTGTCCCAAAAGTGTATTCCGGATAGATGGCTTTTTGTGTCGGTCGACCGTGCTAGGTCACTTAGCCGCCGAAAAGGCAAAATAAATTTTGTTCTCCTCGCCGGCTGAGTGCCGAAAGGTATCGAGCTCACGCTTGTCGCACGTGACCTCGATACTCAGGTTTCGCGATTGTAGGTCCTTTGACCTGCCTGGGGGGCTGTTTTGCCTGAGGGGCGTATTTATGTTGGTGCCTCAGAATTCACTTGATGTAGTTACATCGTTGGCATAACTGTTGTAACAGAGAGTTGTTAGTAAAGATTAAGATGAAATAATAATAGAAAGAAAGTAGCAGTGGGGGGATGGGCACTGCCGGAGTATACGGCCATCACACACCCTGTATATATATTTCTGGTTTTTATCTTTTAGAGTATAACTGGTTACAACTGGAATAAAATTCAAGTTTACGGCCACCAAAGTAGGTGGCGCCTCTGTACGATAACTACTACTGTAGTGAAGTTTTGGGAGACATTTGTTGGACTTTCCGGGTTTGAATTTATATCAGCCCAAGTGTCTAATGGGGCTGGGATGGGCCGAAATGATTCATAACACTTTATTGATACCGATTCGAGCACGGGAATTTTAACGAATTTGTCTTCCTAGGCCATATATTTAGCTATTTAATTCATCAAAGCGATAGCAGCCTTTGCTAGAAGATTTATTCTTTTACTTACACATTTCGCATAGACCAGAGGACACAGAAAACGATATTATCTCGTTCACGGCCGCCAAAGCAGGTGGCACCTCTGTGCGATAACTACTATTGTAGTGAAGTTTTGGGAGACATTCGTTGGACTTTCCGGGTTTGAATTTGTATCAGCCCAAGTGTCTGATCATCCTGGGATAGGCCAAAATTATTCATAACACTTTATTGATACCGATTCGAGCACGGGAAGTTTAATGAATTTGTCTTCATATGCCATATATTTGGCCATTTAAATCATCAAAGCGATAGCAGCTTTTGCTAGAAGATTTATTCTTTTACACATATATATTATTGTGATATTCAAAGTCTTAGTGCGCCAAGCAATTAATTAGCTAATTAATTAATTAAGTAATTAAAATTATTTAAATGATATGATTATGACTCTATCACACTTTTTAATTCTTTTATCTCAGGGTTATATTCGTGCTTCAATATCTATGCATTACATGTGAAAGGTAAGGTCCAAAGAATACCGGAATAATAAAAAAACCACATATATGATATAACACTATATATTGAAATAAAAATAATGAAATAAAATTCACACTCAAATGTTTTCAATAAACAATATCTCATATAATGATTCCCAAAATTTTGTTCTACGTACGTGAACCTTCAAAATTAATGGTACAAACAATATTAGTTAAAATCTCAAAATCCCAATTATTATTCTAAATCTCCTAATCAAAATATTTATATCTTTTCCAAAGTAATTGTAAAAATTGTGTTATCAATGAAAGAAAAAACTGCAGAAAAACAAAACTATCTCTCTATGATGATGAGTGGTCCAAATCCTTGTTCCTTGTAGCCTACACTATCTATTCTTAGCAGCTCCCTAGGTAATCAGCAATCTTACATCAAATTATTGCAAGTTTGTCATCCTTAATGATCTCCTTCAAATGCACGAATCGTTCAAATTATGCTAGCTTCTTCTCCTCTCAATAAACTGAATCTCTCGTTGGCCTGAGTGAAAAATGACTCTTGGAATATCTTCTCTTTACGATAAACTGAATCTCTCGTTGGCCTGAACAGTGACTCTTGGAATATAAGTAGAAAATATAACTTACAATCTTTTACTGGATCAGCTTCTGTCAGATACACTAACTACACGAAAACTCACAAACTTTCACTGCTACTGCTTCCTATCTCTGGGAAACTACCCGAGAACAACGGCCGTTCGCCTTCTACCCTTGGAAACCAACTGACTATCCTTTTTTCTTCCAAAACTAACTAAAGTCTCATTCTCAAACCAACCATCCCATCTTTTTCACTCTCATCCAATCAAAACGCGTCATACATCTCCCATTTCTTCATTTCGATAACACAAACCAATTTTTACCTACAATTATAAAATTTCCTAAAACTTATTTACAAAATAATCTTTTCCTACCAATTCTTAAGAACTAACAAAAACATATCTTTCTAAAATCTATTCTATTGTCCTAATTACTGCACAACATTTATTTGGAAAAACCGCTTCCATTGTCTAGGATTTCATTTAAGCTTATGCAGGTCACTCAAATATATTTTAACAAAGAAAATAATTTATGCTTATCTTACTTTTTGTTCAATACAGGTAATCCAAAATTAAAAGACTTTCCTTCTTCGAAATGTTTGTTGTTTATTATCCTACTTATCTGAATTATTTTAATTTTTTTGGAACTTTGAAATGTTTTAAGCAAACCAATATTTTTCTTGATTTTACATATCACAAGAATATATATATATATATATATATATATATATATATATATATATATATATATATATATATATATATACACCTCCTTGGTTTATCGGTTTGGAATTAATAAAATATTGTATTTGTTTTTCGAATGTTGTTTTAGTTTATTATCATTACTTTTTTTAGTTTGTTTTTTGTTTGATTGCATTTTAATAGTTGTAACTGATAATTTTGTAATTACATTAATAACAGAAATGCTATGACAATATTGTACTAGGTTGCATTATATAATTTTTAATCTCAATTTGTTTTTTTTTTTAGATATAAAAGAATGAGCGAAACCTCGCATCTTCAAGTAGCCCAATTAGTTGACTTCCTTCAGGGACCTGTAGTCACGCCTGATCTAACCAGAGATATTGACAGTTCCCGTGGTAGCACCACTATGAGTACCTTCAAGCCCAACCAGGTGTTCGGCTCCAGTTTAAGCTTGCAAGACATAGCTATCAACAACTTCACCAGCAACTACGATTCGAAATGCCATCTACCTCTCAATCCTCAATGGAAGTTCGAATACTCGCTGGTCAATAACTTGCCCTCTTCGGAATTCAACCCCGCTTCGTGGAAGAATAGCAAGGAGTATTTGAATAACTCAATATTCTTGGAAGATGACTTCTACCAGCTTGGGTTCAGGCCGCAAGATGAAATTACGACTGAGTTGTAGATACATTTTTGGTCAGTGGTAGCATTGACTAATGAAAACAGGGCAATTTTTAATAAATAACTAAAGAAACTTATAAAATTGTATATTTAAAATACAATTATTCTTTTGTAAATCACATATATTGCAAAATTAATTACGAAGGTAAAATTACATTAGAATATAAAGTTTCTACGATGTCAGTTGGACAAGTCATAAAAACAAAATTCGACACTCAAGTGTCGGCGTCTTTGTAAAACATAGGCGGCGCAATAGCAATTAAATAATAAACTTTTATTTTTAAATTAAGGTCTAATATTTTGTTAAACAGTAATAATATTGTTAATTATTCACATTTCTTTAAGAAGTGTAGAAGTGTGAAGTAAAATATTGTAAAAACCTCTAAATTTTAAAGAACCACTGGCATTGACATGAAATTTGTCATACACATATAGCTAACGTGTCAAAGAAAAAAAGTGATATTGTGCCGATGTGTATTTTTGCCCTGGGGGTGAGTACCTTCTTATGGGGTGAAAAGATATACATCCAAAATAAGTCCGGAAGTGGATAAACTGACTAATTCTAGGTAACTTTTGTTCTATAGAGGTTTTTACTAAATCAATACTTTTTAAGTTATTTGCGAGTGAATATATTCATTTTTCATCAAAAACACCACGTTTTTGGACGATTTCTCGCAAATAACTCAAAAGGTAAGTATTTTATGGAAAAAATGTTCGTAGCAAAAATACAGTTTATCAAAAAGTGAAAACAATGGTATATGTATGAAGTCTGTATACCCAGCAAAAGCAGAGTTATAGCTAATAAAAAATAGATTCTTACCTATTCGTCAAATTCCATATCGAATAATTCAACGTGAAATAATAAAAAAAAATGTTTTTTTTACTTTTTTTTTTAATTGTTTAAAGAAATCTTTATTTTTAATTTTTTAAAAAGTTTCTAGCATCAAACGTAAGCAAGTTACGCTCAAAACAAAGTTGATCCCTTTTTTTTGGTAAAAAATAATCATGAATATGATCTGTAAGTTTCATCGGTTTAAAGAGGTTATTTTTGAAAGATACTTATATGAAATCGGCCAATTCGTCTTACAGTCGAATTGTCTCTTGGGTTATAGATTAATCGAGAGATCACATTTACTTCGATACATAGAACATATTTTTGACAAGTTATGGAAGTCTTTGTAGAAATATTCAAACAATTAAACACTATCACTATCCGTGTGTCCAGAACTTGAGTCGTCGTTTGTGTTTATAACTACCGGTTCAATTGGTGGTAAAGTAGGATATTCTTTTTCTTTTACTTGAACATGCGCTACACAATTTTTCCGGTTACATAATTATTAATATTCGGTAACAGCTGTTCCGTTGCCAATTTTTCGAAAAGTTCAGCCGTCATATCCTCATGATAATTAGCTGATGACACTGTTTAATGTTTTTGGCCGATAATAACAAGGCATTAGGTACAAACCCGCTCTTAGTCCAGCATGTAGAATTATAATTATTTTTCCTCTCGAACAAGGAGTATTCAAGCAGCACTTTTTGCTATCATCCATCCAGCCATATTGAACTACATCATGGGTGTCAAACCACGTTTCATCAAGATACACAATGTCTCTATTGTCATCTCGATATTCTTTAATGTATTTACAACTTATTTTCTACTGTCTTAACTCAAACTTAACTAAAAGACAATACTACTGTTTGCACAAAAATATTAAAAATATACGTGAACTTGCTGTCGTACACGAAGATACTGAATATATCGTTTAGTATGAGAAACCTGAGAAGGCATTTTTAATCAGATAACGACCAAGTTTGAGCGTAATAACTTCCGAAAAATATGACTAATTACACTTCAGTAGTGCCCGATAAGATACGTAGAAAGTAATAAACCACAGCTGCAATGTGGACAATACCGTTAGTGATCAATTACAAATAATGTTTATATTTCTGAATTATTCGGGACTGGACCCTAAAAATTCCTTTACTTTTATTGAAATTTAAAATTGATGATTAAAAGTATATACATACATAATGCAAATGAAATGTAATGTGCTTATTAATTTGAGAACTAAAAAATAAGACTACAATTTTACAAATAAAATAATTTATATAATAAGTTTAAAATAAAATAAAATAAGTTTATTACGACGACACTGTTATTGATGCTTGCCGCCTTTGAAACATGAGAAGCAATTTTTACCTGATAACGGCAAAGCCAGATTTGGTATCAGTGTATTCACTTCCGAAAATTTTGACCAATTACATTTCAGTATTACCCAATAAGATACGTTCAAAGTAATAAGCCACACCAATATCCATGTGGACTAATACCAGGAGTAATCAATAATTAGATTTACAAAGAATTATCTTTATTTCTATGTTTGCCGTAGAATTACTGACCGGACCCCAAAAATTGTTCTTTCCCAATTAATATCGTAACAACTTTACACAACTTTGGAATAATCATTCGTCTAGCCCGAAAATTTAGTACATTTTTCCGTGTAAGATGAAATATAGCACACCATTGTTACTTTTTCATTTTATGTCATAGATCTTTGCAGTTTTTGCATTAATATTAATTATCGATTCTTTATAATTATCAAAATATTTTAAATTTTTCTTCCGCTAATGGACTAGTTATACAAAATTCGATGTTACACAATAAATATTTGTGCATGTTGTGTGCATATTGTGAATCTTGTATACACTGACCCGAACACTAAGTTTATTTTAAGTATAATAAAAAGTATTAGAAAAACTTCAATTTCAATAAATTATTTTTATTGTATGTTCAATAAAAAACCATTAAATAAAAAACGAATTCCACAATATTGACTAATATAACAACAAATAAAATTTACATTTTTGCATTCCTGAGTAAGACATTTTTCAAATCAAAAGCAGCAATCTCATTTTGCGGTATTTGTTTCTACTCGTTTATTAGCGCCTATTCTAACTCTACTACAGTTTCAAACTCGCCATAATTTTGCCTACTACCCTTCCCAAGTTGTCCCACACATGCTCTATCTGGTTAAGCATTGGAGTTCTAGGAGACCAGGCTATTAACTGAATGTCAACATCTGTAAAGTATTGCATTGTTATCCTGGCTATGTGCGCCGAGAATTATTCTACATCATTAGAAAATTGTTTCCTAAAAAATGCATATAAGGTAACTCATGTTCTTCCAGACATTCCCTAATGTACCTATCAGCATTAAGGACACCTGCCTACCATAACAAGATCTGTAAGTGCTTCCAAAGAAATGTCGCCCCATACCATTATACCTTCACCAACAATTCTAGAAGTTAAACAACATTGGTCATTGGCGTTTTCAAGGTCTTCTACAAACTCTTTGGCGGCCATCAGGTAAATATCTCGTAAAACGAGATTCCTCTATAAACAGAACGTTTCTCCAATCTTTTATATGCAATTTCCAATATCCACGCATTTCCTTATGTCTATTTCTTATGTGTATAAGCCGTTGCCGATCCGTAGTTCCGCTTTTTGATTCCAATTTAGTTGTTGAATCATTCCCATGTCTTTGTCATTGAGTCCAATTTCGTTTAACGTCTGTATCAATAGTTCATGTCTGACGTTCTCAAATGCCTTTTGATAATCAATGAAGCAATTGAAAAAATCTTTTGTTTGGCCGTTGCGTTTCTGAGTCAGCAACTTCTGTTGCTGCCCAAGCCATTTTTAAAACCAAAACCGTCTTAAGGGTTTTTAAACTAGATTGAATGTTCTATTTCTGACTCTAATATTGGTGGTCCAGTTAATTGTATGTTTCTATCATAAGCATTTATGGTTTTTCATATTTTTCTGCCTCTACTTACTCTACCTTACTACTTTTCTACCTCTACTGCTTCTACTTACTACTCCTATTTCTTACATATTGGAAACTCAGTAAGTCTCAATTCACTTTGTCGTATTTGAAATGCAAGTTTTCTCTTCCAGCGGTACTGTTAAAAATGTTTTTTTTAAAGGATCACCTTAAAAGGTTTTTAAAAAGATCATCTTAAAAGGTTTTTAAAAGGATCATTACCAAGAATCGCCTTTATTCATATCATTTTGATGGGACATTACTATACATCCGTGTCAGTATGTCGTAAAAAGCCCCTTTTTTATTTTCATTGTCACCTTTTGATGGTACATGAACGTTAATTAATGTGATGTTAAACATTGTTTCTTACACAATCGTCAACAATAAACCCCAGAAGTGTGTTGGCAGTTTACCATTTCCATTTCATCTGATCTGTTCAACTACGGCAATTTTTATATTGTACCTTTCCAGTTCATGTGTGCTTATTCTTGTATAATATATGATCTATGCATATCTAAGCCATATTGCCTATATTCCAATTAGTTAAAACGAAATCATTGTTCCCTAGTGTCCCATGTCTCTGCCAAGTCGTCTTATTTGTAAATACATCATTCCGATGTATATATTATCATAAGAGTGTTTTTACGAGATATGCTTATTATATATTTAAGAATAAGGGTTTTTTGATGGGGTCACCTCCCATTAACCCCGCCCAATTTCAATTATTTCCATTATTCTGTTGATACTTGGTCGTCAGTGTCTTGTTAGTTATCTAACAGAGAAGCACCACGTGAAGGTTAGATTGCCATTTGATTAGAAGTTGACAGTCGCTTAATACTCCATTACTCCCCCATGTAAAAAGCTTTTAATTGATAAAAAAAATATGAAGACAAATAATATCGAAAATAATTTGAAGCTGGAAAGTAATAGAGAAGTGTTATATAATTCATATTGAAGGCGGCCGCAGCTCATTGGCTATGGTACTGGCTTACCAAGCCGGACTACCTGGGTTCGATTCCGGGTACAGACATCAGAAATTTTTTAAATTCTAATTTAACTGAGCCGCCACCATGCTTAAAAGAGCACGTAAAGCCGTTGGTTGCCTGCAATGTAAGTAGTCATTAACACTATAATCCTGAGCTAAAAGGTTAGGCGAATGGAAGATGTACAATAAACCAATTGGC